ATCGATCATGACAAATATATGTTTGGCGTTAGGCCGTTGCCCTGCCTGTGTGTAGGACTGTAAGACTGTAGGTGTGTGGGCTGTGGATAATCTCGGTAAGCCAGTAACTCGGCATTAAAATAGATTGTGCTGTATTCTGTTCAATAGAGGTTATGTACATGTATTCCTTTTCTTTATGTAAAAATTTCGTCTATGAACATTTATAGAGAATCAATACAACGCAGACAAAACGCAAACACTAATACAAATACATAATATCTATAGTATAAATAGTATATATTTACTTTTCTTGGTTGGGTGACCAGGCCCAGGCCAGTTCCTGGTGAGCCGTGAAGCCTGTTAGCACCAGAGCTACCATGTCATTATTATGTATCTATCTGTACGTTTTCTTATTGCATTTTGTAAAAGCATATAATTGTTCTATAATAATTAAGAATGTGAACCCAATTTCTATTAATACTTAACCCCAAATTGGCAGAATCCAAAACTCAATCCCATTTTTTTCCTAACGTGATGTAAAGGTCGGTCTCCTCCAGGCTGACTATACGATACCAAGACGTTTACGTTAATAAGACAATACATTATTACGTTAAATTCAAAATATTAAATGGCTTCAGCCCTTGGTAATGAGCAAAAGATTAGGGGATTTTAGACTTGAGACTCTATATGCTCCGCTCTAATCACTCGCTGTTTCAGTCTAGATTTATTTATGTTTTAGTTACTAAGACTAGATATCATTTCATTGGACGCATAGTTTACATTTCACGCCTCGAAACAATTACCTAATCAAACTAAACAATAAAATATCTCTATGTCCAACTTAAGAAAATAAAAAGGTCCAATCTATTTAGCCGTAAGCACAGTTGTATCGGAGTTGCGAGCCATAATATTAACTATATCGCCTACCTCAAACTCGACTATTTCTTGGTATCATTCCATCGCTTTTGTCTCTTTTTGAGATCGATGTCCTTCATCTCCCTTAAGCAAGGATGGACCACATCTCTGGTCTAGCGCATCTTCTCTAACCATGGTAACACATGATCATCTTGAGACTCCTTGTTGAAGGGTATCTGTAATTCACTATAACGGCCCCGGAAATAGTGAGCGTGTGTTGTACCAGTGACTGAATCAAGGGATTCGTTCATCTGCGTCTGTATTTGTAATTGTAAGATTCGGTCTATTAGGGCGATCTTAACGCCTTAGAGTAAATAAATGCGTAGGAAAATTCTAGGTATCGTGAAAATATCAAAGTAAATAAACAAAATGAGACTTTTAGTAAAGCTAGGTATGCCTCGTGAAAACAGCAATACTCTGAGGGATTGTGAGGCTGAGACATTACCTATATATAATCCTCTCCGTACTGTTTCCGCCGAAGGGATTTTATTTAGTGTTTCGTTGTCGCTCTATTAGAAACTAGGGTATGTTTTGTGGGGGCGAATCCGAGAGACTCGTAAATCCTATCTTTAGAAGAAAATAAATAAGAGGAAAAAGGAAAATACTCTTGATGTCCTTATCTATTGCATTAACCAATAACTTGCCATTTATCAAGAATTACCGATCTAGCCATCATCAGACTGGCACATCTGGTTGGCTGATCGGAAGATCAACTAGATAACGTTAATAGTCCCTAGAAACCTTTATTCGGTTGAGCCATCTCGCTACCAAAGTAT